GCAGCCCCGAGAAGACCGCCTCAAAAACGCGCGCGTTGTCACCGATGGAAGGAAATACCCCCCACCGATTCCTTCCGAGCTAAGGAGGCCGGGCGCCGAGCACGCCACGGTCCAGAGGTTGAAGGTGGGCCATTTATGGTCTCGACGGCCGCCTCGGGATTTACAGTCGAGGACAACTATGGGCGAGCCCGTACATGGCCGAGGCCCAGGCAAGCGATTGCTTGGGATGCCCTAAGTCATGTCCGAGACCAGCAGGAGTTCTCTAAAGGGATCCCACCGAGGGAGGCACCGAGCCCCTAGGGCCAATCGAATGGCCCCGGCACCCGCTAGGGAAGCCCTACAGTACTTTTTGGGGAGCGTCTACGGACCACTAGCCGACCCCTATCGAATGGGGCACGGGCCTCCACTCGGACTTACCCGATAAAAGCTCACCGGAAATGTCACCGCTCGCGCCCACCGAGGGTAGCCTGGCATGTTCCACCCCTCCTTCCGAGCGAAAAGGATGCGCGAGGGTCGTACAAAAAGCCAGGGGAACTCCTGATCGCCCTCTCACTCCGCGCGGAGGCTCGGGGCTCTTCCGCAACCTTGCTGAGACCCAGCGACCTAAGCTCGCACGCGAAGGGCTCGGCAAACAACCCCTCCTTCCGAGCGAAAAGGATGCGCGAGGGTCGCACAAAAAGCCAGGGGAACTCCTGATCGCCCTCTCGCTCCGCGCGGAGGCTCGGGGGCTCTTCCTGCAACCTTGCCGAGACCCAGCGACCTAAGCTCGCACACGAAGGGCTCGGCAAACAACCCCTCCTTCTGAGCGAAAAGGATGCGCGAGGGTCGCACAAAAAGCCAGGGGAACTCCTGATCGCCCTCTCGCTCTGCGCGGAGGCTCGGGGGCTCTTCCTGCAACCTTGCCGAGACCCAGCGACCTAGGCTCGCACGCGAAGGGCTCGGCAAACAACCCCTCCTTCCAAGCGAAAAGGATGCGCGAGGGTCGTACAAAAAGACATGGGAACTCCTGATCGCCCTCTCGCTACGTGCGGAGGCTTGGGGGCTCTTCCTGCAACCTTGCCAAGACCCAGCGACCTAGGCTCGCATGCGAAGGGCTCGGCAAACAACCCCTCCTTCCGAGCGAAAAGGATGCACGAGGGTCGCATACAAAAAGCCGGGGAACTCCTGATCGCCCTCTCGCTACATGCGGAGGATCGGGGCTCTTCTGCAACCTCTCACACCCCGAGGGTCGGAAAACTGACGAAAAAGGGCACCAAGCCCATTACGGTCCAGGGTACAAAGGTTGGGCCATCCAGGCCTCTCGGCAAGCCGCCCCAGGACAACAGTCGAGGACAACTATGGGCGAGCCCAGACACGGCCGAGGCCAGTGCAAGCGATTGCTTGGGATGCCCTAAGTCATGTCCAAGACCAGCAGGAGTTCTCTAAAGGGGATCCCACCGTAGGGAGGCACCGAGCCCCTAGGGCCAATCGAATGGCCCTGGCACCCGCTAGGGAAGCCTTCTGGTACTTTTTTGGAGCGCGTCTCTAGACCACTAGCCGACCCCTATCGAATGGGGCATGGGCCTCCACTCGGACTACCCGATAAAAGCTCACCGGAAATGTCACCTTCGCGCCCACCGAGGGTAGACTGGCATGTTCCACCCCTCCTTCCGAGCGAAAAGGAAGCGCGAGGGCCGTACAAAAAGCCAGGGGAACTCCTGATCGTCCTCTCGCTACGTGCGGAGGCTCGGGGGCTCTTCCTGCAACCTTGCTGAGACCCAGCGGCCTAGGCTCGCACACGAAGGGCTCGACAAACAATCCCTCCTTCCGAACGAAAAGGATGCGCGAGGGTCGTATAAAAAGCCGGAAAAATCGATCGCCCTCTCGCTACGCAGGCGGAGGCTCGGGGGCTCTTCTCCGCAACCTTGCCGAGACCCAGTGCCTAGGCTCACACACGAAGGGCTCGGCAAACAACCCCTCCTTCCGAGCGAAAAGGATGCGCGAGGGTCATACAAAAAGCCAGGGAAACTCCTGATCGCCCTCTCGCTACGTGCGGAGGCTCGGGGGCTCTTCCTGCAACCTTGCCGAGACCCAGCGGCCTAGGCTCGCACACGAAGGGCTCGGCAAACAACCCCTCCTTCCGAACGAAAAGGATGCGCGAGGGTCGTACAAAAAGCCAGGGGAACTCCTGATCGCCCTCTCGCTACATACGGAGACTCGGGGGCTCTTCCTGCAAACCTTGCCGAGACCTAGCGACCTAGGATCGCACATGAAGGCTCGGCAGGCTCGGGGGCTCCTCCTGCACCACAAACAAAAACAAGCGACCCAAGCTCGCTCTCATGGGTCTAGCAAATGCGATAGAGCGCCTTACTCAACAAAGAAAAAGCCCCTAAAGGAGTAAACTCACTCCTCTAGGGCCTCGGGGGCTACACCCGGCGGGTGCGCTCGTGCGCACCCACCAGAATCACGAGTATAAAACAAACCCGACAAGAGCCACTGAGAAACAAAAGTCTCGAAAAAAACCTCGGGGAGAGTATCCCACACTCCCGCCCGAGGCTCAGGGCTACTGTCGGGTACCAGAAAATGGGGTACCCCAAGCAAAGATCGAAAAACTGCTTAGACCCTAAAAACAGAACCAACGGAATAAACAAACGAGGTCTCGGCCGAAATCTCCGATTCGCCCGAGACCCCGTCGCCGAGCCCCAGCGGAAGAAGTGCCGATTCTCTGATTCGCGCGAGGCCGGCTCGGCACCAGCCCCGTGACCGCCTCTTCGACCAAACTGCTCTGACCGAACGTCGCATCCAAGCGCCCAACCACTCCGACAGACGCACGACGGCACAGTACAGCGAAGTGACCGACTACACGCCAGTCGCGTCAACCTCCTGCCATCTGCGACGGCACAGAGCAGGGGTTACCGACCACTGTGCTGCCTAACTCCTGCACCAAGGACATCGCAACGTGGGGAGTCAGAACGGGTTCCTGTAGCCTCGGAATCAGCGGACCGACCGCTCCGTCTCGCCCGAGCCCCCTCGACAGGGCCTCGGATTCACTGATCTTACTCCGCCTCGCCCGTCCGCCGCCCGAGACCCCTCGGTAGGGCCTCGGACGAATTGGCCACGCTCCGCCTCACCCGAGGCCGGGCTCGTCCCGCAACCTCGTCGCCTCCGCCTCAAAGGTCTCTCTAGCAGGCTGTCGCATCCGATTAATGCGCTCAGCTGCACCCGCTACGTAAGCCACGATCGGCAGTGCGCTACAACAGGAGCGACGGGACAACGGTCAGATCACCTTTTTTAACATCCCTTACTGACAATACAGGTACCGTATCCTGTAGGCGCACGTCTCGCACTATTCCGCCTGATGGCCGCTGAGACCCGCATCTGCACCTGGGTCACTTCTCAGGCCTCGGCACGGCAGGCCTCGGCACAACAGGCCTCGGCACGACAGGCCTCGGCACGACCGGCTACGATGGCCGCCGAGCCTCTGCAATCCACCAAGTCAACAAATGCGCAGCATGTTACTTGCAGTGGAGACCATACCGATTAGACATCTACGGGAACTCCCACGACAACGCCATGCTGCTCCAGGAGTAAATACGTCATCGAATAGTCCTTGCTCCACGTGTAGCTCTCTTATGTACTCCTGGTTTCCTCCCTGCGGCTATAAAAGGAGGCAGCCAGGACCGTTTCTGAGGACGGCGGATAGAGTCACGAATACTCGCACGAACAACACGCCTCATTCTGTAATTCATATCACCTCCCCTCACAGAGACCTGGGACGAACTCCCTCTCTCGCCTAGCTTGTAACCCCCTACTACGAGCACCCCGGTGCAAGGAATACAAGAACATCTTCTCAGACTGGACGTAGGGCATCCATTGCCCGAACCAGTATAAACCTTGTGTCTCTTTGCATCACCATCCGGAATTGGGAGCACGCAGCACAAATTCACTAGTCGGTTAAGGACCCCCGGTTCCAAAACGCCGACAGTTTGTATAAAATATTAGCAGCATTTGTATCTCTAAATAAACTTATTACAAAAATATATTTAATGATCTATCTAATGATACTAATTATTTACTATAAATATTAATATTTTCTTGTATGTATTTGGTACTCTTCGAAAAATAAGAACAACACTTATTTTGAGACGGATGGAGCAGTTAACTCCTATATATGCTGATTACTTTTGCATGCGATGAAAATAGAAGTGCTATAACATGTTGAAGAGTGATCTACGGAGACTATATCTCGGCGGTAAACATCACTGTGCCTTTTATACGCAGAGCGAGAGCCCGCAGAAATCACAAAGTCTGCAAGCGCTAGCTAGCTGCTCCAATGATCAATGCATATTTGTCACCCCTGTTCGAATCCTTCCAGATCAGGTTCAAAATTTTATGTTCGCCTTTGCTCACTTTGATGCATTGCTGCATAAATTTTAGCTCTCAGCCTCTCTCACTGGGTCATTCTTTAGAGGTAGACGATCACATACAAAATCTGGTCGCAAAGATACTGCAATAATACCCTGTGTACAAAATCTGGTCATTGAACTAGACTGAGAGAGGTATGGAGAGAGATAGAGATAGGAGGGAAAGCTGAGGCGCCTTTGTATCTGCTTTGTCAGCACATGCATTCTACCCTCTACCCACTTTCTCTTTCCCACCACAAAATCCACTTTGGACCCGGGAAAAAAAATCTAAGAGTAGTAAAGAAAAATGCAGCTATAGCCAGCAGCAGCCCTCTCTAACAAGAAAAGCACAAATCCATACACCCAAATAATCATCCATATATCCTTCACCTCCTCAAGACATCACCGGCCGGCCCTGCTCAAAAGATGAACAACACTCACCAACATATAAAGCAGCACCACCATCTGCAGCTCCAGTGATCGATCCCCCCCTCTATATCTACGCACACATCTCCCTGATCTCGTCTTCAGCCTCACAACTGCCACCAGATCTTTCACCACACACTGCCGTTGCTGCACCAAATTAATCAGCTAGCTATAGGTGGCTGCCCTGGAGAGATGAGGGCCGGGGGGTGCACGGTGCAGCAGTCGCTGACGGCGGAGGCCGCGGCGGTGGTGAAGCAGGCGGTGAGCCTTGCGCGGCGGCGCGGGAACGCGCAGGTGACGCCGCTGCACGTGGCGAGCGCGATGCTGGCGGCGCCCGCGGGCCTGCTGCGCGCGGCGTGCCTCCGCTCGCACTCCCACCCGCTGCAGTGCAAGGCGCTGGAGCTCTGCTTCAACGTGGCGCTCAACCGCCTCCCCGCGTCGGCCGCGGTCGCCTCGTCGCCGCTGCTCGGCGGCCACGGCCACCACCACCACCACCACTACTACCCGCCGTCCCTGTCCAACGCGCTCGTCGCGGCGTTCAAGCGCGCGCAGGCGCACCAGCGGCGCGGCTCCGTCGAGAGCCAGCAGCAGCCGGTGCTTGCCGTCAAGATCGAGCTCGAGCAGCTCGTCGTCTCCATCCTCGACGACCCCAGCGTCAGCCGCGTGATGCGCGAGGCTGGCTTCTCCAGCACCCAGGTCAAGGCCAACGTGGAGCAGGCCGTGTGCAGCACCACAACCACCGCGGCCACGGCCGCTCCAGGCAAAAACCCTAACCCTAGCACCTCTGCCACCACAAGCCCACCTCAGGAAGCCAAAGCCAACAAGCTGCCGCTCCCGCTCCACCAAGCGCGCGACGAGGACGTCGCCGCCATCCTGGACTGCTTGGCTTCCCGGAGCAAGAGGAAGGTCGTCGTCATCGCGGAGAGCGTGGGCGCGGCCGAGGCCACGGCGCATGCGGCCATGGACAAGATCAAGAGAGCCGAGGCGAAGCACGACGCGCTGCGAGGCGCGCAGGTCGTCAGCCTCCGCATGTCGTCGTTCCGCGACATGCCGAGGGAGGAGACCGAGCGGCGGCTCGGCGAGCTGCGGTGCCTCGTCAGGGGCAGGAGGCAACAGCAGGTCGTGCTAGTCGTGGAGGACCTCAAGTGGGCGGCCGAGTTCTGGGCGGGCCACATCCAGAGCGGGAGGAGAGGGTACTACTGCTCCGTCGAGCACGTCGTCACCGAGCTGCGCGCCCTGGTGACGAGCGGCGGCCAGCACGGCGGCAGCCTCTGCTGGCTCCTCGGGTTCGGGACGTACCAGGCCTACATGAGGTGTCGGGTCGGGCAGCCGTCGCTGGAGAGCCTGTGGGGGCTCCAGACGCTCACCGTGCCCGCCGGCAGCCTCGCGTTGGGCCTCACCTGCGCCTTCGACGACAGGTAATCTATCCAGAGGTCCCATTTCCAAATCGGTTTGCGATGCAAAGTTGTTAGGTTTTTCGATTCAGAATGTCATTTCAGGTGAACGAATCAACCTGCAGAAACGAAATGTCCCTGACAATTCGTAGTAACTGAAGTAACTGAGCAGCTATAGGACAACAAGGAGTAGCAACTGTAGCGTCCCTGCAACGTGCTCTGCCCTTTTCTCTCTTTGCCTACCATGAGTGTGAGTGAAAGCTTGCATCTTTTGCGTGCTTTCTGGACAACAAGTAGTACTGGCTAGCTCGTCACCTTCACATATTCCCTCTTTTCCATCTTTGTTTCTCCCTTGGGTTCTGAAGTTTGAACATCCTAAGTTCAAAACTGTATAGGCCCGGGGCTGCTGTATATAGTATATACCATATATCTCGATTGGCAGCTCTCTATAGTTTTAAGAAAGAAAAACTGGTTTTTTATCAACATAATTCCAAAGACAATATATGTGTGTGGTACACCGGCAAGGCAAAGCTAGCAGGTAGCTGATTTTATGGATATGTCGAGGGGGGTACGTGAAATGACACTGGAATCTTATTCCCGTTTGTTCTTTCTGCAGTGCTCTAGGCACAGTCAATCAGTCCATGAAAGCGGGCTCTGACACGGATGGGAACGGACCGGCGTCTTGCTGGCCGCTTTTGGGCGGCACCCAGCTGATCTCCAGATGCTGCGCCGATTGCTCTGCCGCAAGGATCGACACGAAAGCGGCGTTGCCTCGGCCCTTCGTCTCGTCGTCCACCCTCCCCTCCTGGCTCCAGCATTGCCGTGATCATCAGGTACACAAAATGTTCAGTCACACGCATGATTCCTTCTCCAATAATCCAATTACTGCAGTATGTTATTAGTCCAACTTTGACACATGTTCTAAACTTCTAACAATCTTCCGAACTGACTTTTTTTACAGGAGCCTACGACCCATCTTACGGACCTTGGCAAGACATGGAGCTCCATCTGCAGCAGGCCGTCACAGCGGATGACGCTGCATTTCTCTGCGCCGGTGTCTCCGGCGTCCTCCATCTCTTCCTACGAGCACGGCGGCGATCATCATCAGTCGCAGCAGCAGCAGCAGCCGCGGCACTCGTCGTGGCTCCTCGCTGGTCTCGACGCCGCGGCGCACCACCCGTGGGGACCCAAGCGCGAGCCCAGCGGGAAGTCCACCAGCAGGTCCCACGACTCCGGCGGTTCCAACGGCTCCGTGGAGGTGGAGTGTCGCGCCAAGGCCAAGTTCAAGGAGCTCAACGCCGAGAACCTCAAGGTGCTCTGCGGCGCGCTGGAGAAGGAAGTGCCGTGGCAGAAGGAGATCGTCCCGGAGATCGCCAGTGCCGTCCTGCAGTGCCGGTCCGGGATCGCCAAGCGGCGCGACAAGTCGAGGTCGGCGGACGCCAAGGAGGAGACGTGGATGTTCTTCCTCGGAGGCGACGCCGACGGCAAGGAGAGGGTGGCGAGGGAGCTCGCCAGTCTCGTCTTCGGGTCACGCAACAGCTTCGTATCCATCAGGCCTGGTGGCGGTGCCTCGTCGCCGCCGCCTGCCGCCTCGTCGGGCTCCTCCGAGGGGCACCACCGGAGTAAGCGGCCACGGATGGCCTACCTAGAACGGTTGCACGAGGCTGTCTCCGCGAACCCGCACCGGGTCATATTCATGGAGGACGTTGAGCAGGCTGACCGGGACTGCCAGCTCGGCATCAAGGAGGCGATCGAGAGCGGGGTGGTGCGGAACCATGCTGGCGAGGCGGTCGGCGTGGGCGATGCCATCGTCATCCTCAGCTGCTTGAGCTTTGACGCCGCCAGCGGGTCTAGAGCATGCTCGCCACCGAGCAAGAAGGTGAAGGTAGAGATGGAGGAGGCCAAGGAGGAGCGCACTGATGACCATGAACGCAACGAAGATGGTGCTTCCTCGTCGTCTCCATCTTGCATCGATTTGAACGTGGACATGGAGAACGATCAGGCGGACGAGCGAAGTTTCGGTGATGTCTGTCTGCTCACGGCCGTCGACAGGACCCTATTCTTCAGAAGACCACAAGAGAATTAATTAGTGACTGACTGTGTACATTGATTGAAGGATCCGTGTGCGTATTAAACGTGCTTCGTTCTGATAAGAAGATTAGTTGCAAGTGCAAGTCTAAGTAGCATTTTCTTTAGTTTATGTTTTGTTTTATTTTTTAGTTTACCTTTTTTTTTTGCTATCTTGGTTTTAGAGAATTGGATTGCTGGTGTATTTGGGCTTCACTAAAGACAAAATAGAGCTGTTGTAAATTTACCTGAAGATTCTAATTCGCTGTTATCCGCATCAGACCAAGTTTACTCTCTTTTTTCACCTAGACTAGAGATAAGCTTTGTCAGACGCCTGATGGGGGGGGGGCAGGACTTCCCTAGATTGGAGGGTGAATTGAGAGTAGATGGAGGATTAGAGGGGGGACGGCAGCCCTAGGGCTAGCCGCGCCTAGAGGGATAGAGGAGATGGCGCGCCTAGAAGGATAGAGGAGATGGCGGCGGCGGCAAGCTGCACCCGCCCTAGCTGAGGATGGCCAGCGTGGCCACGATGGTTGGGGCAAGTGGTGAGGCAGCGGGCCGCATGGAGGCGGCGGTGGGGGGCAGCAGCGAGCCGCTGCTGCTGCTGCGGTGCTAGGGTAGGGAGGCGCAAGAAGAGGAGAGGGGCCGCGGCGGCAAGAGAATAGAGGGAGAGAGGGGTAGAGGGGTTTTACCCTAAATTGTTCTTTCTTGATTGAAAGGATACACCTCCTTTTATATTTATAGGAATGACTCGACCCGACTTGACTTGACTTACAAGCAAGCCTGGCTTCTAGACTCGTCCTAAACCTAAACGCTACAGTACCTGAGCTACAGTACCTGCGGGTACTGTCCACGCCGGGCCCGATTGGCCTGACTTGGGCCCCATACCTCCATAGCCCTTCATGGCTATATTGGCGGCGGCGGGTAGGTTATCACCGCTGATTTTGTTGTTGCTGACGGTGCTGAAGTTGGTGTAGGCGGTGCTGGCATTATGTCGATGAGGTAGGCTGTAGGTGTAGATGTTGCCAGCTGTGTTGTAGTAATCGCCGCTTGTGTAAATTTTGCCGGAGGTAATGATGGTGCTGATGTAGATGTATCCGACGTATAGTATGGATTGAGCGACGTTGATGTGGTTGTTGTTGGCGTAGATGTAGGCGCCGAGGACGGCACATATTTATGTCCTTCCTCCTGGTTGGCGAAAAAAGTTTCGAACATCTTTGCCCAACGATCGGTGACGTCGCGAATGTCCTCCGTGGAGTTGATCACATCTGACGACACCTTAGATGCATATGTAGAAAATGAATTGGGGGTAATTTGATTACCAGATGCAGTGGATGTCGTCGTTTGTGCTCGTCTTTGGGCTAGAATTGGCACCTCTGTTGGTTTGCTCTCTGGTTGATTTAGAATTGTTGACAATGGAGAGCTCTGGTGGCCTGCTGATTTTTTGTCCAGCTCTTTTCGCCAATGATCGGGTATTATTGTAGATGGCGATAGTGCTGGAGCTGCTGCTGATGTATATGTCGTCAACGCTGGCATTAGTTTGTTGATCGATGCATAGCCGTTGTTGACGGAGTGGTAGACGTTGTTCCCATCTTTAGATGCAACCAGAGAAAAAATTATGGCGGAGTTTGAGGTGTAGGATCCACCGGTTGTTGGAGCTGTCGGCATGGGAACTAAGGTAGACGCCTGTGTCCATTGGTAGAAGCCGCTGCGGAAATCTCCCATGGTAGTAGATCGGAACGTGGCTCCAGATACCAATTGTCAGACGCCTGATGGGGGCGTGACTTCCCCTTGATTGGAGGGTGAATTGAGGGAATAGAGGGGGGACGGTAGCCCTAGGGCTGGCCGCGCCTAGAGGGATGGAGGAGATGGCGGCGGCAGCAGCAAGCTGCACCCGGTCTGGTTGAGGGTGGCCAGGCGTGGCCACGATGGCTGGGGCAAGCAGTGAGCCAGAGGGCAGCATGGAGGCGGCGATGGGGGCAGCAGCAAGCCACTGCTGCTGCGGTGCTAGGGTAGGGAGGCGCAAGGAGAGGAGAGGTGCGGCGACGGCGGGAGAAGAGAAGGAGAGAGGGATAATGGGTTTTTACCCCCAAACTATTCTTGCTTAATTGAATAAAGGATACATCTCCCTTTATATTTATAGGGAGGACTCGACCCGACTTGACTTACAAGCAAACCTAGCTTCTAGGCTCTACCTAAACCTAAATGCTACAGTACCCACGCTACCGTACGTGTGGGTACTGTTCACACTGGCCCGATTGGCCCACCTTGGGCCCCATACCTCCGTAGCCCTTCATTGCTATAATGGCCCGTGACAATCTTGTTATTTCAAGATTTGTCATTTCAAAAGGACCAAAACCTAAAATAGTTCAGCTGAAATTTGAGTATCTGGTTGCATATATAGAGCTTTTGACTGAAATATAGATATTGCGAGAGTCCGAGACCAAATTGGGTAGGCCACAATGTTAGCCTTTTTTTTGAAAGACTCACAATGTTGGCATTTGCCATGTGCCCATGTACAAACCCTCATGATGTGGCAATAAGGATAGTTTTTTTTAAGCTATATAAGAGCAACTCCAAAAAAGTTGGTAAAAATAGATGACTAAACCCATGATTTAGCCCTCTAAAATAGAAAACCCTCCAAAAAAAACATAAAACTCCCAACGGCCTTTCCTTATACGATTCTATATTTTTGAAAGAGCCACATCATCTCTATTTTTAATCTTCGCACTGGCGATCCTTGCAAATGTGCAATTATGCAAATCCAACTAACCATCAAATAAGGTGCAACATAAGTTTATGATTTCCTAAGGCTAAGTGATCTATTTTTAGCCAATTGCCATGTGGAACAATTATTAACATCTTACAGTGGGATATCGACAAGCTACAAACTTGTGGAATTGGCCAAGCTAGCTCATCAACAAGAATGTGCTAGTTTTCCGTCCCCTTGTTTATAGTTTTTTTAGAGCAAGGTCAACTGAAACTTGTGTTCTTGTAACCAAAGAGAAAAAGAAAAAGGACTTTAGGGTTCTTACCAACAGAAGAAAACAGTTGAAACCCAGATGAATCTCAACAACAGTTCAGTAATCACCAAGAAACCAAGGATAGAGATGGAGCAGCAAATAAGTTCAAACTCTGATTCGACAATGCACCACAAAAATCATCTACTCTTTTATCTAAAAAACATGTCTCAAGAAAAAAAAATGCAACTAGAACGAAAGGGTATCCGCAAAATGTAACATGCTCAATAAAAGAGAACATGCTGGATGAACAGAATATTTTAATTATGTCTAATTGTTTATGACAAGCACACTAGCTATGAAGACAGAGAATGCACAAAAGCTGTAACCTGAATGGCATTTTGCGCCTTGCTCATCCCTATCTATCATGAGGAAGAAAGTTTGTACACAGTTTTTAAGAGACAGTTTAACAAAAATAGTTACAAGCATATGCTATATATTATAAGAGGAAATAGCAGAGCACGTCATATCTATCAGGGATACGATCAGCTCGTACTAAGTGATGGAATGGCAGCAGTCTTTTAGCAAACAACAGCTGCCATGCTTCGGCACAAGCAAATCTAACTGCAACACAGAAATGCATTCAGACTGCATCAGCTCCCCTCATCTCGGTTGAGCACAATACCATTCAAACCTGTTCATCAAAGAAACAATGGTCATAGCAGCAGATGTGGCGCCAAATACTCTGATGGCTGATGTGGCCGCTGCCTTGGCAAAGAAAGGCAACGGCCGGGAGAGTTCATCACTAGCAAGTAGCCTATCCTCGCAGATCCAGAAAGAGGTGCATGTGATCTAACCTAGCTAGCAAGATTCAAGAAGGGGGAGAGGAGTAGGGAAGGGGATGAGGAGAGATGCAACTGGAAGAGCCCTCGCCGCAGCCGCCGTCTGACCCGAAACTGTAACAAGAAAAAAAGATGCTGAGGAAAAGGGGAAGGGAGAGGGGAGCTGAGAAGGAGCACCTGCCGCCGTCATTGGAGAAAGCCAGGCGAGAGTGGTGACGGCGGTCGCGCACGCACGGGGTTTTGGCCGCGATACACGTGAACACAACGGCTTTGCCAGATGCGGCGATTTTGGCCCGAGAGAGGAGATTGGTTCCACGGCTGACGGGGTTCCTAGGACGAAATAGATACTCCTGATAGATTTCTAGGACCATCTAGGCGTAGATCTAGTGGGTAAAACATAACTTAGATAAGGACTTAGTGATGTACCTCGCCGCATGCAGTGGCGGTCATGGCGCCGCCGCTAAGTGGACACTGATGTCGGAGTAGAAGTAGCATCGTAGTGGAGCGCGGTCCAGTAGCGACACCGATGGAGCTTCCCGTCGCTCACAGCACTCTCCTCTTGATCGGACTAGGGTTAGACTCGGTGGGGAACTGGCGGCAGCAGTGAACCTCGTGCCTTGTGCCCCGGCCCCCACCTTCCTCTTTATAGCGCTGCGCGACGGGGGGCCATCAGCCAGGAGAACGGCTGGACGCCCCTGATCAGGGCGTGGATCAAGGGCCCAATTGGCCGTTGGGCCAACTGGTGGAGATCAATCTAACATTCTCCCCCTAACTTACTTTATCTTTTTCCCATTTTATCGTAGATCAGTGCATAGAGCGTGCCTCATCGTCACGGTCAGTTGTCATTAGATTAAACAGCTACAAATCACCTCTCTGTTTTAAAACAGATTCTCAACGAGGCCCTTAGTATCCAGAAATCATAGGCTTTCCCGTAAACCCATGTCAATTGTGTGTTCTCTGAACGCACTAGGTGGTTAGCCTTTGGTAAGCGGATCCGCAAGTACTTGCTTGGTACTTATATGCTCAATACTTTCAAAATAATTCTGGATTTTCTCCTTTACAACATATAACTTAATGTCAATGTGTTTGGCAACACACTTGACCTGTTGTCTTAGGAGTTAACTACTTTAAATGGTTATTGTTGTTGACTACCATTGTTAAATACGGGTACATATTCCCTTAAACACTTTTGCCTGTTCCTGATGCCTCATGACAAG